TATAGAAAAATTCTAATCAAAATATTTACTCTATCCTACAAAATAATCATATCACTAGAAAGCTAATATTATTTAGAAAATAACTATAAAATTAATTTTGTAATTAAATAAATTTTTAAATGCTAATCTAAACAGGAAAGTTAGAACATACCTGAAGAAAAAGAAAATAATCCCCCCTTGTGAGAAAACGCTGAGCAACGTGAGAGGAAGAGAGAAAAATAATATAAAAATGGAATTGTGGTCCCAAAATTATATTAAAAAAAACTATAGGTTTGAATTTAATTATTCAAACCTTTGGGCTAAAAGTTGCAATTTCTTCTAAATTGCATCTTAGCCTCTCATGCTTCCTAATGCACACACCCCTTCCTTTTTATACATGAAGGCACCTCTTCTCTTCCCTTATCTAACCAATGTGGGACTTAGAAACAACAACCTTCCACCCCCCCTTTTTTTTTGTTCCTTCTACCTTCTCTTTTTTTTAACACACATAAAAAAATTATTTATATATTATATCTTAACTAAATATTGCTTATGTGATTTTAAATTTAAATTTTTAAATTTATAATTAAATACCTAACCATAATATCATTTCTAAATAACCTCAAATAATATAAATTCCTATTATTATCATTTTTTTTTCAAAACCTAAATTTCACAATTTCTTTATTATATAAAAATTAGGATGTTACATAGGGCAAAAATGCAATATCTCATAGCATACAAATATTCATTGTATAGGCTTGCATAAGCTTATTATTGTATTCTAGTCATAAATAGACATCACATAATACATATATACCAATCATTGAACTCCTTTTCACTTCACCTCATTGAACTTCTCACTGTACACATTTATTGAACTCCTAATAATCACATCATTGAACTTCTAATAATCACATCATTGAACTCCATACAATTATATTATTGAACTATATTCAGTCATCTCATTGGACTCCATACAAACACATCATTGGGCTCTATACAAACATATCATTAAACTCCATAAAGTTAAAATTTTTAATTTCTAAATATTTCATGCCACGTTTACAATAAGTAATTTTACACATTTCAATTGTAATGCATAAATCAATAAATCAATTAACACACAAAAGTACAAGAAAGAATTCCCTTGATTTACCTCAAACCTTTACAAGATTAAATGTTCACTCCTCAATTATACATTTTCAAAGCTTTCATGAAGCTTGAATGGCACCAATAGATACTTGATCTATAATAAATCATGACACAATTATTAATATCCTCATTTAGAATAATTTCCAACACTTAGTTTAACACTTCAACATTCTTAAAATTTAATCTCCTTAATTTCAAAGGTAACCATATGGTTCATTAGCTTTTTCTAACTCCTTTTAATTTCATTAAACTCCTAAATAACTATTGATGAAGCCACATTGCCCCACCTACCTCATTAATAGTGGAATTTTGGGTGTTCATGACTCCCAACAACCAAAAAAACATAAAGTCATAAATGCTAGATTAAAATAGCTCAAACAACTCTCGTTAATTATATTTAAATCAATTGACTCGAATCTATAGCCTTTATAGATTGAAAATTATCTTTTCTAACTAAACCCTAAATTCCAAATTCAAGAAAATGCAAGAGGAAGAAACGAAAAGAGCTTAGGAGTCTTATCTTTAGTGTTTGAAACCTTTAAAACACTCTAGATCCAAATCTCAAGTCCTAGTAGAGGTTTTCATGAGCTCTTTCATTTATCTTTTGCTTCTCTTATGTTTTTTGTTTCTTTCATGTTTTATTTCTGTAGAAAATCTGCCACACATCGTAGTGCCTATACCAGTTGCTAAAGCATGTGGTACAGAGAAGAGTATTCGTGCTCTGATCAGCCCGTGCACCGTGACATATGATACAGGGCCAGTTCTCTTTATTTTTTTCACTTTTTGACATCTGGATGGCCCAACTTTCTCCGGACTCATTCCAAGAGCTGACGCTACAACTTAAGACCCCTGTTAACTCTTTATAACCACACACCATATTTATTTACTTATTTAATCTCATTTACTCATCTAATTAGGAGTTAAATTCTTTAGGATGTTATAAGATCTACCCTTTTCCCTATAAGCACAATTGCAAAAATAAACATCCCAATCTTAATTGCACAATCGCCACCTTCATTAATGACGGAGCCACTAAACCCATCACCTTCCCAAACCACCGTACTTTTACCATCAACCAATGCCTCCAACCTTTGCATACTCTCTACTATACTATTACCCAATAGTCATCGCAAAGTAAAGCAGCAAAGATCGCTGCCACTAAGAGTAGAGGAAACCTTCCCTAACGGAGAGACTCTTGTAAAGGAGAGGGAAACCCTAGAGGTTTCAAGAAGCCACATCGCCCTCAACGTCCGGTTGTTAGCTTATACATTTTGTATTTTATATTGTTGATTTTTCTTGACTATATATTAGATATAACTAGAATAAGAGAAATCTACTTGTGACAGTTGAATTAAGTAGATTGGATTTATTTTTTCTTAAACAATGTTGAATACCTTAGAGAGAAAAAATTATATTAGTTGAGATATTTTCAATTGAGCCATGGATGTAACGTATTGAATGAAAGAAACCTAATTGCACTAAAATTATAAACGTGCTTGTTTATAAAATATATACATGAAATAAAAACATAAACATAAAACTTATAGTTTACAAGTATGACTGTTTTTTTTTTGGTTTTTCCACTTTGAATAGTGTGGAAAATATTACTCTATACCACAATCAAGTACTTTGATTTAACTAGCAAAGGGGCTATGTTAAATATTTGGTAATAGAATTGACCATCCAAAACAGTTTCACTCAACCTCATCTAAATTAGTCAAAGTTCCAATAATCTAAGTCACAAGAGCTCCACGTAAACAAAGGAAACAAGACTTCTATAGATGAAGTGTTAGGTCTCATTTGGTACACTGGATGTTTGGCCTTAGAATTGAAAATGAAAATGGAATTCACAAATAGTTAGTTTGATATGCTAGAATTTAATTGCATATGGAACACAATTCCACCAAAATTGGTGGAATTCACTTCCATCAGAAAAAGTTTATATTTCCAATTCCATATTCATTTTTCATTTTTTACCCTTTCCTCTTTCCTCTCTCCTCTCTCATTTAGTCCTCTCACCCTACCTAGTGTTGGTGACCTTAGCAATTAGTGCGATGACCTCTAACAACTAGTGCCGGTGACTTGTAACGAGAATGTTCTTGCGATGACATTTAGGAACTATCAACTATCTTAGATATCGATAAACTTATCACCCACTTTTGGTGACTTTCTCAGTGATGAGGACGAACCAGATCGAGAAGGCGAATGAGGAGACAACCTACTGTCTACTTTCGACAGTAGCGATGACATTAAGCACCACTATTGGTTACCAGAGATGCTGTGGAGGGAGGTAAAGGTTGCAACAGAGTTGCATCAGAAGGTGGGTCATTCTCCCTCGATCTCGTGTCGGAAGGTGACGGCAAAGACCACCTTCGATCTTTTGGCCACCTCTTTGTCAAATCTAGTTCAAACAATGTAGTTATGAAATTATGACTCTTGCTTGATAGAGATTGAGAAAGGTTAGAAATGGATTTTTGCTGCTTTATTGAATCATAATCAGCTATGCTTTTGTTCCAACAAGCTAGTTATGTGATTATTTGAGAATGATTTTGGGTTGGAAATAAAAAATGATTTGTATTTGTGTTTTTTTTATGGCAGTTGTGCCATGGCTAATGGTGAATCCAAGCTTGCAATTTTTTTTGGAGATGAGGACATTTTAGTCTTTTCACATTTTCAATGTTTATTGAATAAAAATAATCTCTTAATTCTATGAATATATCAAATATATTTTTAAACCTCCATCTCCATCTCTATATTTATTTTTATCAAAATCATTTTTAAGGCACCAAACAGGACATTAGGTGATACGGCTCAAGCCAAAGATTAGGTATTGGATGTAGCCTTGAACGTGATCTCTATCTTCCCTCTTCATCAATAGTTCCAGAACAAACAATTCTGTCCGGGTATCATATCGTTGCTACCAAAGTTGGGCAAGTTAGCAGGCGTTGCCTGGTTATCTGGCTGCCCACGTCACTCATTTCGCGCCAAGCAAACGCAATGACTTGGAAGTTACAACACAACCCAGCAATTACTTCTCTAATGCCCTCGCATTAATACGCGGCTACAATATATAATACATTCCGGGAAATTAAGTACTTTACTGTCCAAAATAATAATGGGGCGAATAATACCAGCATCTTACTAAACGTGAGATTGAAGGAAACGGGATGAAGTTGAGAACCCACTCGAGAATGTTCTCACTTCTGGTTTAATATGTCTCTTCCTCACAGGGCTTTGATATAATTTACCAAATATATTCATTATTGCGCTATATGATATCCTCACTATTCAGAACAAAATTGAACGTGAAGCTGAAACCAGTAAGGAACTCTCCAGGCCACACGCTGGCTTGGGTCATTTGTGCCTTATCTTTAAACTCCGACAATCCAAAACCAACGCAAAAACCTCAATCAATACCCGAGAGCGAAGTGCGAACGAATAAGAAGCGCACAATGATTTGTGACCCACAAAGGCCCAAAAGTGCCACCCTTAAAAACGACACCGTACAAGGCCTGTGCACAAACCAACTGGAGAAGGAATCACCGTTTCAATTAATCAGGACGTTATTTCATGTATTCGTACTTTAACAAATCCAATATTTATATTTATACTAATGTGTATCAAATCTGCAGGAAGACCTGCTTTCTTAGTTTCATATAAATATTGGATTTGTCAAAGTTATATAAAGTTAATAATTATTAATCCATAGTTAATAGTCAATAGTTAATAATTAATTTAATAACTTCAATGATTCAAATATATAAAGTTATATTTTCTAATATCAGTTTTTACTTTTAAATTAAATTAAATTAAAGTATATATAAAAAAATTGTCAAACATTTATGGCGCAAAAAGGTTGAGGACATCACCAGTCTAGTCCAGGGATAACAATAATGACAAAAATAAAGCTCTCGAATTGAGAGTGTTCTTTTCCTTCGCTATTTGAATTTGTTTGATTTGATATTCTAGCTTGCACGCTCGAGTTTCAAATTCTAGAGGAAATCCGAGCAGAGACTGGGGGCTTTGCAGCCTTAAAAAAAAATGGCGGAACAAAAGAACAAATGGAACTGGGAGGTGAGTGGGTTCGACCCATGGAAGTCTCCGACTTCGTCTTCCTCGTCTTCATTTGAGCATCACGATCAAAAGCCCACTGCACCATTGGTAAGGAGGTATTCCATCTCGGCCTCCTCGGTTCTTCCGCATTCAGGGCTGTCCAAACACTCCATGGCCACCAAGCTCCACCAATTGGGGGACAAAGTTAAGGTAATCGGTTTTCATTCCATCTGTGCTGCGTCTCCTTCTCCTTCTCCTTCTCCGTCTTCGTCTTCTTTCTCTTCCAATCTGCTTTTGGTTTTCAGCTTTTTCTTATGAGAGTTTCAGCATCTACTCTATCCTAGTGTTGTTAATGACAATGTATGTATTCTTGAGAAGGGGTGCTTATCAGTAACGTTGACGAAGAGAGCATCGTTTAAGTACATGTCTTAAAATTTCGGAGTCTAACTACTTTTTGGCGAATGTCAGTAGAACGTTGCGGAGTTTGGACCATATACTCTGTACTAGTTTGGGCCTTGAAGTCACTTTTCATTCTGCCCACTATAATGCGGTTAATATTTGGTTCCGCACATGAAACATTTTAAGGAGAAAGTACTGTGCATAATTCTGGGAAGTTGCTGCTTCCAGTTATAGGCTATAATTTTGCTCTTTGGGCAGCAGGATATAGAAGGGTAGAATGTAAGGAAAGGTGTTCACTGCCTCCAATTCGCCCAGAATCCTTATTGCAACTGTTATTGGAGCTTGTGGATTCAGTTTTAGGTTCTATCTTCTATCAGCAAGTGCTTGAAGATATCAGATTCAGCTAACATTTGTTGAGATTCCAGGTTACTGAAAACCAATTGCTTTGACTTTAAGGTGCATGTGACAGCACTAATGAAGCACATATGTACATTTCACCAGCAATTTTGTGTAGGTGCAGCTTATCTTCCATTTGCAAGATCATCTGATGCATGCTGAGGCTTTTTAGAGTCTATTCATAAATGCCATGCTATCCAAAGCTCCATAGGGTTCCTGGTCAAGTTAAGAAATTGAAAGATTTTACTAAATGATCAGCTTGATTAATTTAACATTTGGCGTCCTTTATTCAATTGCTGAACATCAATTAAGGCACAAACTCCCCCTTGTGCTTGATTGAACCTTACTTGATTGCTGGGTGGCCTATTGAGTGTTGTCATGGTTATAATGCTTGATGGGCTGTGTGTGATGATGAGAAGAACACATTGACGGTGGTCTTACAGTTTCAATTAATGAATTTAGATCCAGATGTGTGTGGGTGGCTATTAAAACAATGTAGTCGAGCAGAACGTTAGGAAAATACAACTTATAAGCAAACCAAGTGCTAATTTGGAGATTATGAAGGTGCATTATTGCTTGCCAAGAAGAAATAATCTTTTTACAAAGAGCATGGATTATTGTCATCTATAAAGATTTCCTTTATTGGTCTACTAACTGCCAAATGTTAGAGATAGCAGAAGGGCTCTTTTTCTTATCAAAGTTGTACGTGACAAATATCAGTTAAGTAACTATGTTATTCCATTCATGTAATTGCAGTATAAATTATCGGATCATACAACCAAAAAAAAAAAAACTGCATTGGATTTAAATAGAGCTGTAAATTATCAGAAATCTCTTTTATGGAACTTATCTTTTGTGCTTATGAACTGTGTAAAAGGTGGCCAGAGAATGGAGATATGTGGAAAATCTTCACTCTTTAAATTTCTTCTACATTGTTATAAGCCGACCCCACCTAGTGGGATAAAGGCTTGTTGTTGTTGTATTGTTATAAGCAAGTTTAATTTGAACTTTTTTATGCATGTGGGGTACTAGTGAATCTTTTGTGAATCATTCAATTCTTAATTTAGGCATATGGTAAAGTGACCACTTTATATTTTGCACAGCTTGCTAGAGAAGACTACCTGCAGTTAAAACAAGAGGCGAGTGAACTTCAGGAATATTCAAATGCAAAACTTGACCGCGTTACCCGATATCTTGGTGTTCTTGCGGACAAGACTCGCAAGTTGGGTAAGAAACTAATTTGTCTTGACACATACTATATATGCATTATGACCGTGCAACTATAGGAAATGTAGCAGATTTATGTTCAAGATGCTTTTACTTTCTTACAATTGCACAAATCAAATGTGCCTCTGTTTGCCCATGCTGGTTTTGTAGTTGTTATTATTAGTATAGTTATTTCACTGTTGATTTTCTATTATTCATTTTTTTTTTGTGGCCCATGTATGAATGTTAGATCAAGCTGCCCTTGAAACTGAAGTCAGAATATTGCCAATAATCAATGAGAAGAGGAGGTTGTTCAATGACTTATTGACATTGAAAGGTAATTGTTCTTCATGTATTATTATTTAATATTTAATATTGATTAATGGTTGTTTCTATATCCACTTTTCTTCAGAGATATGTTGTACACATCATATGATATGAGTTTGGATTTATGATAGGGACTAAAGGGGCATAAGTGTATAGTTTGTATTATTGCCTTGCCTGTACTATATTTGGCACTGCCCCATTGCCAATTATTTGTCAACAAGGATGTGGTTAAAAATTAGAAACATCAGATGGACTTTGACATCACAACCATGGAGAAAGAGAATTTACTTTATTTGTCTAAATCTATGTGGTGTCCTGTGTGCCATTACTAAATCTACTGCAAGTTTTATAAACTAATTTCACCTGCCACTTAATGACATTGTTTATTTCTTTTTTTGAACCTCTTACACTTTTAGTTGCAAGGCACCAAATTTTAGGAAAAAATAATGATTTTGTATTTTGTATTTTTTTTGCTTAAAAAGCCATGTCTAAAGCTAGTCTATTACAATAGATGTCGTTAACTCTAATAAAGTAACTAGATGCATGGTATTGAAAACCGGACCGGACCGGCCGGGTCAACCCGGAAACCGGTGAACCGGTCCCCTGTCCGGTCTGGGTTTGCACTTAACCCGGTGAGGGAGTGAACCGGTGTAACCCGGTCAACCCGGGTTCAACCCGGTATAACCCGGATAACCCGGTGGGTTGACTGGGTTAACCGGGTTAATATTTTTTCAGACTTTTACCCCAAAACGACGTCGTTTTTGATTTTTTTTTTCATTTTTAATTTTTCACAGCTCTGAGTTCGGAAAAAAATAACAAAAAAAAGTAAAATTAAAGTCAAAAAATAAAAAATTAGAGATAGAGCATGCTAAGTCCAAAAATATAGTATTTTATTATTGTTAGACTTTTGAGTGGTTGGATTTGGTTGAATGTTTTTATAATTAATGTCTTTTTATTTAAATTGTATTATTTTAATCATGACCGGTTTGCCACCGGTTCAACCCCCGGTTCAACCCTGATTGAACCACTAACCCGTGACCCAGTGCCATGACCGGTTTAATGACCGGTCCGGTTTTACGTACCTTGACTAGATGTACTCCCCTTGCAATGTACAGGATAGATTATAACTGAAAAGTTTTTGGATGATGGTATTTATTTTACTAACATTTAAGCCCTTCTGAAATGTAGAAGAAAGAATTAAAGAGTTGTATGTGACCCAATAAAAAATTTGTGGGTAAAAATCTGAAGAATACAAAAATACATGGAGCCTTAGAGGAGCCACACTGTTCATGACTTATAAATGGTTTAGTTTAGGTAGATTTTATATTGATATTGATAATCTAATTTAATAATTAACAAATTGTTTAAATATTCTTTTATATGCGCTGCAATTATGCTCATCAAGTAGAATTGCTTCATCTGCCTTTGGATCATAGAGTATGTAGAAGTTTAGCCAATTGAATTCATGATCTTTTGACTTTTCAAAGTATATTCTGATAACGTATATCTAGCTGCTAAAACAAGCACTATTGTTTGCAGGAAATATCCGAGTATACTGCCGCACAAGACCATTATTTGAAGATGAAGGTCCCTCAGCTGTTGAATTCCCAGATGAATATACTATTCGTGTAAACACTGGTGATGAATCATTGTCCAACTCCAAGAAAGATTTTGAATTTGATCGTGTTTATGGACCTCATGTTGGACAAGGTAACATAGCGTTTTATATAATTAAATTATGGCAACGGTGTATTATTTTTCATGAATAACCTTTTTTATTTTTTATGTAGTTGAATTGTTTAATGATGTTCAGCCACTGATGCAGTCAGCTTTGGATGGATACAATGTCTCCATATTTGCATACGGACAAACACACTCTGGAAAGACACACACTATGGTTGATTTTTCTTTCTTGAACTTTTTCTGCGTGCATGCGCAGCTAACTACCCCTGCCTTTTAAGAGAAAGATCTGTGTGGGGGTCTTAAATTTAATACTGATTTAATAATTCACATGCATGTCCTATGTGTGGACCTATTTTAATATGTTCTTTTGCTTCTTAATCCAGCAAAATTTGACCTGATGAATTGCTTCTTTGGTGATCATTTGTCTTTCTTAGGAAGGATCAAGCTATGATCGGGGTTTATATGCTCGTTGTTTTGAAGAGTTGTTTGATTTGGCCAATTCAGATTCAACTTCTACTTCTCATTATAAGTTCTCTGTTACGATTTTTGACCTCTATAATGAACAGGTGTATTTATCTTGCCATGTACGATGTACAGCCTTTTGGTTGTTTCTTTGCTTTGATTGCTGGTTTTTGGTTGGTTAGGAACATATGGTTATTAAGTTTCTTACTAGTCTCCTTTAATGTGGCTGTGCAGACAAGGGATCTACTTCTGGAGTCGGGGAAAAGCATGCCCAAACTCTCTTTAGGATCACCGGAATATTTTGTGGAACTGGTGCAAGAAAAAGTTGAAAATCCTATTGACTTTTCTAGGGTTTTGAAAAATGCATTTCTGATCCGAGGAAATGATTTATCGAAGATTAATGTCTCTCATTTGTATGGTCTAAATTCCATGTTCACATTATGCATATATTCTGCTGTAATGTTTTTCTTTTTGCTGTTTTCCACTGTATGATAAACTTATAGCACACTTTCACCCTAAAACAAGGGCCTGTTTGTTCTCTCCTTGGCAAGTCTGTTACTGTCTAATAATGCCACTCTCAGTGACAAATCTTTCATGAATTTGGTGTACTGCTCCTTAATTTCTTGACTATGGTTAGCTTAAAATGGCCAGTGAGATTAACACACAAATGACTGAAGTTGTTACTTGGCTTTAGGATGTAATCTATCATGCTAGAGGGAATTTTGGAAATTTTGAACTGTATGACTCAAAATATTGATAGGAAGCACGAAAAAAACATTGGTAATGAATGTTATGTGGTTATAAAGATTAAATAAAGTCTGAATTTTCACTAGTTTTTGTTAACATTTTTTCATAGTTATCACTGATTTATTCTGTAAAAGAGATGACTTGTGACAAGTCATGGTAATTAATTGTGAAGTTGATTTCTGGATGCATCTATTTTATGTAACTAAACTTTCTGAGTGAGTACTTTCACTAATTCAGCTCTGTGGATTTCATGTGTCGTCTTGCTAGGATTGTCACAATACACATATTTTATGACAATTTGATCACTTGTGAAAGCTCATATAGCAAACTTTCTCTGGTTGACTTGGCTGGAAGTGAAGGACTAATAACAGAAGATGATAGTGGGGAGCGTGTGACAGATTTGCTGCATGTTATGAAGTCACTGTCAGCGTATGTCAATATCATTAGTTTTCTCTTCTTCATCAGCAAATATATCCTTTCTTTGCTTGAAGGTCAAGCAGGTGTATGTCCGGTTTGCTCGCGTGACTAGGTGTCATTGCACTCAAGTATTCTTCTTCTAGTATTTTTAACATGCCTTGTCAGAATTCATTTCCTGGTGTGCATGTTACTAGGCTCTTAATGTCTTCGTCTCTTCAATTATACTTGGAGATTAGATTAGAACTATAGATAGTTGGTGTTGGTCTCCTGTAACCTGTTTCAGGCTTGTCTTTCCATTATCCTTGTTAGGCAAATTATACTTCGTATCCACAAAACTGAAATGTAATTAGGCAACCAGTCTCTTAATGTCTTTCATTCTACTTGGAGATCAGGACTCTTTGGTGTTGGTCTCCTGTAACCTGTGTCAGGCTTGTCTTTCCCTTGTAATTGTTAGGCAAAGTATACTTAGTGTGTGTTTTGTTTTCAGTTTGCCAAAAGTCCATTTGTTGAAAGTCAGTTTAGTAAAGTTAGTTGTTGCAACGAAATTTGTGTTTGGATATTTTTTTTCAAAAATTAGTTTGGTAAACTGAAAGTTGTTTGGATTATGATATTAAAATGTGCTTTTGAATGTACAACTATCAAAAAGGATATTGATTTATGATGATTTGTAATTTTTACTATATGTAATATTTTTGAAATACTTAAAAAATGTGATAAAGATTTTAAATAACATAAAATTTGATCTGTAATACTAAAAACTTGATATCTAATTATTTGTACTTTTTTAATTTGTAATTTTAAAAAATGTTATAAAGATTTGTAATTTTTATCATACATTAATGTTAAAATTAACATGATTAATTATTCAATTTATAATGTTAAAAACTTAATATCTAATTATTAATATTTAAATGATAATTATATTTGTAATGAATTAACTATTTTTTAAATAATAGAATAAACAATTAAACTTGGTAGTATAGTCAAATAACATCCCACTTTTCAAAAGTTTTATTATTTTAAGTTGGCCAAAAGCACATTCAACCAAATCTGGAAAGGACTTTTTAAATGTACTTCTTAAAAAAGATTGGGAACCAAACAAATCTGGATTCAAAATCCATTTCAGAAGTCCTTTTGGTAAACTGAATTGAAAACCAAACAGACCCTTAGTATTTACAAAACTGAAATGCAATCCTCTGTCACTCCCCCCCTCCTTTGCTCATTTTGCTGTTAAATTTATAGAATTCCCTTTTCCATTCATATTGAACCGCTTGAAAAGTTAAGTGAGAATAAAGTGGAAATCTTTTTAACTATCTTTGCTGCATATTTTTTGCAGGTTGGGGGATGTTTTGTGCTCTTTGACCTCAAAGAGGGATATTGTTCCTTATGAGAATTCAGTGCTGACAAAACTGCTTGCTGATTCAATTGGTAAAGATTTTTCCTTCTCCCATTCTGTTTATGAACTTGTGGTCGCATCTATTTGGTCTTAATAGACAATAGTCATTAGAATATTTTCTTGACGTAAAAGTAGCAGAAAACTTTCTCTGCCTGTGAAGGCGTTCATAAGCTGTTAATTGCCAGTCAATTCTTAGATGCCTGCCACTTGAGGTTTTTAGTTCACAATGTTGTCAGACTTTAAGCTATTATGGAAATGCATGTGGCAACTGCATTTTTCATTTGTTCTGATGCCTTTGTATAATGTTTGTTGAATTATTGAACTATTACTTTTAATTCAAATTCAATGCTCTATAAGCATTTTTTTCTTATGAGGACTCTTGTACTTCTTAAATTTCAATTTAAGACTGAGTCCCGTGTGAAAGAATTTATAGTTTCTTACTGCTCAAGAGAGATCATTGCTTTAACCACTCATCCTCTGGCAAAAGAGAACATTTTTACAAGGGAGAAGGATGTTGGTAGGCAGAGGACAAGATATCCTTTAGAAAAATTAGAAGGAAACCAACGAATAGACACGCATAGCATTTAAAAGTTGAGCCAAATGTCCCAAAAGCTTAACCTTTTGACAGTTGATGCTAAATATTTTAGCTACTGTTTTTAAATATAGGTGGTCTCTTTTGGATGAGATTACTCATTCTCTAAATACCTTAGTAGTGAAATGGAATTTGCTTCTATCCATAATTTGAAGACACCTTTTTTGGGCCCCATTTTGGTGTTCGTAAAGTGAACTTCTCACATCTTGAAGGTTTAACAATTATGAATGTTTTGCACACATGGTGTTCTTTTTTGTAGGTGGGAGTTCCAAAACTCTGATGATAGTAAATGTCTGTCCAAATGTTAAAAATTTGTCGGAGACATTATCATCTCTCAATTTCTCGGCCAGAGCTCGAAATTCTGTTTTAAGCCTAGGAAATCGAGATACAATTAAGAAGTGGAGAGATGTTGTAAGTTCTCCCTCAACCTGCTTCCTTCCGAGCAAATGATTCTGTGTTCTACTTTTGTGCCATCTTTGATCTGTTTTACTTTCATCACTTTGGATTTTGTCAAAAGCAGAATAACATACTCTTTGTGTCAAAATAATTGTCTCTTTGAAATTATGCACACAGATTGAGAAATTTATTAGACAGCCTAGATTATGGTAATGTCTGATAGCATTTGACTAAAATATCCTTAATTTTCTATGTTGTATTTGACTCTTTCTCCATTGACTTATTAATGAAGGATAAAATGGTACGAAAATAGTTAACGTTGTTGGAATTTTAAAAAGACAATAATTTTGAAATGAAAAACTCCACATGAGCAATCATTTTGAAAGAGGAAGTAATAACTTACTAAAAATTGCCTCTTAGCAATGATATGGGCAAATAATTGTGATTTGGCATCTACCCAGCCTTGCTACTTAATTTCATTGTTTTTAATGGTTCTTGTAGGCAAATGATGCGCGGAAGGAGTTGCATGAGAAGGAAAATGAAGTCCAAGATCTGAAACAAGAGGTTTTAGGACTCAAGCAAGCACTGAAAGAAGCAAATGATCAGTGTGTCCTACTCTTCAATGAAGTACAGAAGGCTTGGAAAGTTTCTTCTGCCTTGCAGACAGATTTAAAGGTCTTGTAATTTGATGGAGTTTGGCATGATTTTTCAATTTTTAGCAACAGGTTACTTTTAGTGGTTTGATGATTAAATTTTCTGGTCATGGATTGCACTGATAATGTTAATTCCCTTAGTAGTATGTGTTTTTTCTTGCTGCAAAATATCAGAACAATTATGCAATACCACCTGGTTTCATGAATGATTAATCACACAATGGATCAAGTGCTACTTGTGGCATTTTCTGATATAATTTGTCAGAAGTTGGGTGTTCCGGTTCAACTTTTTTGCATTGGAACATGGATTAGAAAGCATAATAAGTCCAACTATATGACTTCCCTATTGAGGTGGCGCGAGTAAAGAGAGGGGAAAGCTTTCACATTAAATAGCATTAGAGAAGAAGTATAAAAGTCTAAAGCACCCATATATAGTTCTGCTTAAAAGTTCAAGATTTGTTGTCATGTCAAACTCACTTATGCACTTCCTCTTAAAAGTTCAATTAAAAAAAGACTCAATAGTTTTCTTTGGTGTTTGAGGCTTTTCTGAGCCTTAATAGTGGTATTAGAGCTGATGGTTTGATTGAGACAAGTATGTTGACATTAGCTCAAGTGGGTTGAAGCCAGCTTTTGCACCCATTTGGAGGGCTTAGTAGTTAGGTGCTGTCATGTTGAGGAGGTGGGCTCTTATGAGTGGATTGCCATTGAAAGAAGAGAAAAAGAAGAGCATGTATGTGTGATTATATGATTGGCTTGCAATTGAGGAAAAGATTGTTGGGGTCAAGTGTGAGTATAGAGTAAGAAAAAAGTTTCACAATTGATATAATTGAATTGAAGAAGTATATAAGTAGACAGGGTTCATATATCTTTTGCCTTGTGGCTTTTGGTTGAAAGGTGGCTTTGAATTTATTTGTATACTTCTCAAACTTTAATGAGGAAAAGGACTCAATGGATCGCCCTGGTGTTTGAAGCTCTCCCAAGCATTAAAATGTCCTTTGGTCCTTTCATTGGCATGATAGAATACCGAATTTGCTGTATTTTCTTGCTATTTCTAAGTGTTCCGCATTGTGAAGAGCAGAGCTGTGTTAAGTGATGTTCCTCTAAATGATGAGGAATAAAGGATACATATTTGACTTTTTCTTTTGCATATCTTTATTTGGTAGCTATTCTTGCACTTTTTCCCCCAATCTTCTTTATCATTTGAAAGGATTGATATTTTATTTACATTGTTCTGGGAGATTTGGATATTGTGTTCTGCAAGATCCGACAATTTCTGTTCTGTCTTAGCATTCTGTTGATGGCTGGTTGGTAACTCTGGACACAGTATTTCTGCTTAGGTGAGGCTTGTCAGTAATCTATATTCCTGCTCTTGTTTGCTGCAGGCAGAGCATATTATGTTAGCAGATAAGCATAAGATAGAAAAGGAACAAAATGCTGAGCTTAGAAATCAAGTGGCTCAACTGCGTCAGTCAGAGCAAGAACAAAAATTGCATATACAGCATCAAGATTCAACCATCCAAAGTTTACAGGTCTGTTGCATTTTTTCGTTGTTTGATACAATATTAGTTTAGAAGCATTTGAATTTCGAATCTTCCAGTTCAGTTTCTGCTGTTTTCTGATGAGCGCGTCTGTTTTCTGATGTAAAGTTGAAACTGTAAGTTGGATGATGACTCAGATACCAAGTACAGATAGAGAAACAGCAAAAATCAAAGTTCTAGTTGTTGTTATGATTTGCTCTGTATAATGATTTTTTTTTTTAAATTTACATGGAGATCAATTTTTATTAAGGGGCAGGGTTTTCATTTCTGGTTATATTGGACTTGAGATCAAATACTCATCATTACGTTTGCTGTGGTATTTCTTACACACAACTGAAGGATAATTGTTTCTTGCACAAGTTGAAGTATCTGACATTCTTTTTACTTATTTTTCTCATCACTTAGAAGTTTCAACATGATCATTTGTTTTCTTTGCTGGGTTATTTTTGAATTTGGTTTCAATGAATTGAATTGAGACTTATAGAAAGGGTGTACCAGATGATCAATTTATTTTTATGTGCTTGGCAGCTTATCTAAGTCCTCAATGTTACAGGCTAAAATTGGGACTTTGGAAACACAACTCAATGAAACTATTAAATCCAACGGACCTAGTTCAACAATTGACTCTGAGCCAAATTCTGGAGTTCTATCTAATTCTAGAGGGGATAAGATGGATTCTTCTGCAGTGACCAAGAAACTTGAAGAGGAACTCAAGAAACGAGATGCTCTGATTGAGGTCTGCTATAACTTGTGATTTAATGCCTGATTGTTGCTGTACTGGTCTGCCCAATTGTTGCCTATTATGGTTATTGCATTTGACTTGGTTGGTTTTCATTTTGTCTTTTGTAGCTAAGTAAAACTATAACATGCATTAATGGAAAGCCACTAGGAGTTGGCTAGTATCACTAAAGCTTTTAGGCAGTGTTGAAGGAGATTGATAGAGCTGAAGAATTAGAACAGATTTATATATCATTTCCTAGGGCCTATAGCATAATCTATGAGAAGGGAAATGGTGTAGGAAAGAGACTAAAGAATTATCTTCCAGGAGATAAGGGAATTACCCAAAGGTTCCTGGCTGTAGGGGAAAAAGTGGTGTGTGAATAGGGATTAGGTGCAGCTAGGAGCATGTTCATCCTTTTGTAACTTTTTGGATCTTTAAATGAGGAGAGCTCTGGCCTCTCAAATGCCAGGTTTGGGTTGGAGGAAGATCATCTTTCTTCATCATTTGTTTGTGTGTAGCTTATGTTTGGGTTGCTGTTCTAGGTGTATTCTGTGTTGTTCTTGTACTTTGTAACTGTAGTTCAAGTGTATGAGTGTGACTATGTGAGATGAGATTGGCTTGAATCATTATTTTCCCTGCAATTCAACTTTATTATCCAGCTGTAGTGTATTGAGTCCCCATTTGCACTGTATTTTCTGTTTTTTGTGCTTGTTTATACCTTATTAGATTAAAGGGTTCCATCATTGATGGAGAATTTGTAGTATGGGATACCAAATCCCATATTGAGTAGTATGGGTTGCTTAATAGGGTATTTAAGCGGGTTGGTTCTCCCACTTCAATAGCTAGTTTTTGGGATAGAAATTCCTATACTTCACCATTTGGACCTTGACAACCCTGACCTAGAAATTGAGACCTATAACACTACTATCCTACCTGGAAACATGAGTGATGTGCCAAACTCTAATCCTAAAGAGAAGGAGAAGTCTAAGACGGGGAGATACCTGATTTGCACAGACCTATACACGAAGAAACAAGACAGGTAAAGAGACCCTTACTCTAAGCATTGATCAAGAGTCGGAACCGTATGTAGGTCCAAACAAAGATAGTGATGTTATTGTGGAAGAACCAAGGTGTGACGATAATCTTGATTTACCTATAGCAGTGAGAAAGAACCCAAGAGCCTGTACAAGGCATCCTATCAAGAATTTTGTATCCTATCAGGCATTGTCTGTTGAATTTTGTGGATTTATTTCTCACTTAGATAATGTCATAGTACCAAAGAATGTTGAAGAAGCCTTGGCTATACTTGAATGGAGATGAGCTGTAATGGGGGCATTGACAGAGAATGACGCTTGGGACGTTGTAGAGTTACCTCCAGGTAAAAAAGCAGTTGGATGTAAATGGGTTTTAACCCTTAAATATAATGCTAATGGAAGTCTAAACAAACATAAGGGAAGACTTGTTGCTCAGGGTTTTTCTCAAGTTTATGGTATAAACTATATTGAGACATTTGCACTAGTAGCCAAGTTAAATATTGTTAGAATAATTTTTTCACTTGCTGCCAACCTTGATTGGCCATTACTTCAATTAGATGTGAAGAATGCGTTCCTAAATGGTGTGTTGAAAAAAGAAGTATATATGAAGTTACCTCCTGGGTTCCCAGGGAAGAAACCAAATCAAGTATGCAAATTGAAGAAGTCCTTATATGGGCTAAAACAATCTCCAAGGGCTTGATTTGAAAGACTTACACAAGTATTAAAAAAGGCAAGGTTCACACAAGGTCAAAGCAATCACATGATGTTCTTCAAACATCGAGGTACCAAAACTATTGTACTATTGGTTTACGTGGATGACATGGTTCTTATTGGTGATGATTCTGAAGAGATCAAAAATCTTAAAAAAGCACTAGCCCGAGAATTCCAGATAAAAGATCTTGGAGAAATGAAGTATTTTCTAGGTATGGAGGTGGCAAGATCCAAGAAGGGAATTTCTATTTCCTAGATAAAGTGCTAGATCTCTTAAAGGAGACAAATATGGTGGGATGCAGACTTAGTGATACTCCTATTTGGATTGACAAGATAAGCAATGAAGAAGATCTTGGCAAATCTGTTGATATGGGGAGATACCAATATATGGTGGGAAAATTGATTTACTTGTCACATACTAGGCTAGATATTGCCTTTGCAATTGGAATAGTGAGTCAACACTCACGCAACCCCAAACAGAAACACATGAATGAGGTCTACAGGATCCTTAGGTATTTGAAAGGTACTCCTGGAAAAGGTTTTATGGCTTAAGAAATCTGAGAAATAGAATGTAGAAATTTTCACAGATGCAAATTGGGTAGGTGATCAGGAGGATAGAAAGTCTACATTTGGATACTGCATGTTATTTGGGGAAACCTGGTTACTTGGATAAGCAAGAAGCAGAGTGTAGTTGCTCGTAGTAGTGGAGAAGTAGAATTTCGAGCTATTGCTTTGGGAATTTGTGAAGGTGTATGGATCAAAAGAGTTCTTGAGGAACTAAGAAAAAATGTCAACTTGCCTATTACTCTATACTCTAATAGCATGGCAGCAATTAGTATCTCACATACTCCAGTCCAACATGATAGGACTAAACATGTTGAGATAGACAGACACTTTATCAAAGAGAAGATTGATAGTGGCATCACCAAGATGAGGCACATACCAACAAGGGAGCAAACGGCTGATGTCCTCACCAAAGGATTGACTAGAGATAAGTTCAATTATTTTATTAGCAAGTTGGACATGATTAATATCCATGTTCCAACTTGAGGGGGAGTATGAAAATATATAAATCATATTTATTGTAAATATTTGCTGTTATTAGGATTTATACGATAGGATTATAGTGTATCAGATATATTAGGGATTTATTCTGTTTTTATTTCTTTCCTCTGTAAATCCCTGGAATCTCAGCCCAGATAGTGGCTATCCTCGTGTATATAGTCTATCGACTTGCTGGAATGAAATATAATTCAGTTCTGCAATTTGTTCTTCAATTTCTCATCCCACTTAGGTACCCATCATTTGGTATCAGAGCAGTACAACCCTGGAGGGAGATAATAATGGCTTTGGCTGAACATACGATATTGATGATGAAGGAGTTGCTAGAGAAATGTAATAGGCATCTAGATAGCATGACAAACACCTTAAAAGTTTGGGAAGAAAAAAGAAGAATGAAGGAAGAGTTAAGAAAATAGAACGGAGAGAAGATGCACAACAAAGCAAAGAAATCAGGGCAAAAATAGAAGAGAAGGACATTGGACCAGAGAAAAAAGAAGACGAGAAGAAACCAATAAAGCCGGAAATAGGGGGAGGAATGCAGCCAAGAGAGCATGGAATCAAAGATGGTTTCAAGGCAAGTGATTTTTTAAGTGTAGAAGAGAAGGACGGAATGACGGAGATGGAAGCAAAGAAAGGGTTTGAGGCTAAATAACAATTAAAATTGTGACCTTTTTTAGAAGAGGAGGAGCTTTAAGAAGTTTTCAGTAACTATCCAAAAGAAGAGATGAGAGCTAAAGCTTTTCAAGTCTTGAAAACTGTCAAAATAGATTCAAGTAGTCCTACAAGAGTTCAACAAATATATGTTGCTGTAGCTGAAGCAACTAAGGAGATGAAGCAAAGATGTGATGTTGAAAAATATTGGGCAAAATACTGGAGATATGACAAACAACAAAGAAACCGGTTGAATGTAGAGAATGTTAACGGTAATGAGGAGAAGAGGAAGTGGGAACTAGATCGAATTAGGGTTACGTTAATCACTTATTGCAAAAGCCCATTACTTAATGGTGGTAACTCTTTTGGGCCCAATGGTTTATTATTATATAAAAAGAGGATGATCCAGCCTCATACAACATTCATTCACATTTGAAAAGTAGGTAATGGGCTTAAGCGTTAAAGTGGAAAAAAGAAACCTAATCCTTTAGAAGCTAGGATTGCAACGTTGCGTTTTGCATTAGAGAAAAGGCTTTCACTTTATAATGAAGCTTTGTGCCAAACACTTATTATTGGTCACAATCTAAACACTCAAGACAAAAAAGGAGCAGAAATTGTCCTACAAGCATGCAAAAAAGGAGGGAAGCAACACCATTCTAGATGCTCTTTATGCTAGTTGGCATTAAAGGCTATTGTGCATGGCTACAACTGTTACAAAAAGTAATACACTGGATGTGCAAGCTTCACAAATTTCCATAGCTATCAAGAAGGAATATGATATTTGATTAACCCAAAAGGCCAACACAAAGTTGGGCACAAGTGACGATACAAGTATCAGGTATGACTACAATATACAATTTGAGGCTACCATCCTATTTCAATTGTCCGGTGGTTACCAAGCTACACTATTCTTCATGCCATTCTTGTCATCTATGAATGCTATAATTGTTGTTACCTATTATTGGGTTGGAAAGAAAACAACTTTTGGAATTCCACTCACCCATCTTTTGGGTTCTATAGCTGTAGGTTCTTTGAGTACATCATTTTATGAAACAACCAAGTTTTTGCTTGAATTTATTATCTTACAGTAGAAATATAGTCTTCCATTAGACAACGGCACATGCAGGGTTGCAATTTTATCTTTTCACAGTTATCCTAAGGCTTCATTTATCACCATAGATTGGATCATTCATAAAATCCTTCAAATGAGGCATTTCAATGTGATTGGGAATATCACTTTGTTATTTGGAAATTTTGTGTTATCCTCTTAGATGCCATGTTCAAGTTATTTTTTGTTGGTAACTAATGAAAACAGATATGCATATAGCAAGATTTCATGTTCCTTTTTGACTATTGAGGTTTGTTGGGCTAGCGAACATGTTACTCCTACCAATTTCATTGTTATAGTGGGGTTACAGATACTTATAATTGTACAAGGGGTAGAGCAATATTTAGATTACTTCAATACTTGGGGTGAGGATTTTCCTAATAATTGGATGCAGTTGCATATATGGCATGGTATGAAGATTATAATTGCCCTGGTTTGCAGAAAAGTTACATAGTTGGCATTAGTTTTCCCTCTTATGGGGTACTTTGAAAAGGATGAAGTTCAATGTGAATATCATCCTACAAGAGAGTAAAATTACAAGATGTGTTCACAAGAGGTTGGGGTCTAGAGATGATTTGAAAAGTTGAAGACCTCAAGTTCTTAGGAACTAGAAATTGGTGTGGAGAATTGAAAATTTGCAAGAGGCCACATAATTCCATTTTCATTGTACACCTTAGGGACAAGGTGAAACTTCAAGGGGATGGTAATGATAGAAATGAAGAATTAGAACATATTTATATATCATTTCCTAGGGCCTACAACATAATCTATGGGAAAGGAAATGGTGTAGGAAAGAGACTAAAGAATTATCTTTCAGTGGATAAGAGAATTACTTAAAGGTTCTTGGTTGTAGGGGAAAAAGTGGTGTATGAATAGGGATGGGTACAGCTAAGAGTATGTTCAGCCATGTGTAACTTTTTGGGCCTTTAAATGTTTTCCTTTGCCTAGAGAGAAGGATGTGGAGTATTTTGAAAATTGTGAGCAGTGAGGAGAGCTTTGGCCTCTCGAATGCCAAATTGAGGGTGGAGGAAGATTTATTTTTTCATCATTTGTTCATGTGTAGCTTATGTTTGTGTTGTTGTACTGGGTGTATTTTGTGTTGTTTCATGTACTTTGTAGTTTCAGCTCCTTATTTTGCTTGTAATTCAACTCCTTTATTCTGTTTAGTCCCATTTGTTGTGTATTTTTTGTATTTTTGCTTGTTTTAAGTTTATTTGGGTAGAGGGTTCTGTCATTTTGTATTAGAGCCTGGTTGTCAGTGGTTCCGGAGAAGGCTACCCATAAAGGGTTCTAACTGGTAGGAGGCCAAGTTAAGTGCCATGGAATGCAGTTGCTGGGACATCGGCTTTCCATGGTGGGGCCAATTGATGGAGATTTTGTAGTATGGGATACCAAGTGTTACATTGAGTAGTATGAGATGTTCAATAAGGTATTTAAGTGAGATGGGAAACTCTACTCCAAAAGCTAGTTGTTGAGATAGGAGAACCAATCCACTTAAATGCCCTATTGAGTATGCTATATTACTCAGTGTGAGACTTGGTATCCCATGCTATCAAGTCTCCATCAGAGATCTAAGGTTCAAACCTTTGATCTGTTATATTACTAAATAAAAAGGCATAACTGTTTATAACACTGAATGTGTTAGCTATACAAGTTATGCATTGAGGAGCATAATCAAGCACATGTTTGCATTTGTGGCTCAAAGAAATATCAAGATACTGAATGAGAGGATGGATTGAGTACGTTATTAGGGGCTGGGGGCTGCGAATAACTGGAACTGCAACCTAGATATCTTAACTTGATATTTCAGTTTTCATCTTCCATTGAACGGAAACTACCTGTTACAAATGTATTTCTCTAACATTCTTTAACTATTAATCTTTTTACAACAACAACAAGCCTTTATCCCACTAGGTGGGGTCAACTATTAATCTTTTTGTTGACAAAAAATCATCAAGTTTTTTGCTTCCTTCAGTTGCATTATATTCTGGCTAGAAGCTTAATTTTCTGTTTTGCAGAGGTTGCATGAAGAAAATGAGAAGTTGTTTGATAGGTTGACTGAGAAAGCATCCCTGGCTGTATCCCCTCAGGTAGACAAATTGCAATTCATAACGGAATAGCAGTATGCATCCCTTATGTCATCTATGTTGTAAATTGAAAGTATAGTTCTTTTGTCAGTTTTTCATGTGACAGTTTTATTTTATTTTATTGTATTTTATTTTTTTTACTCCCATAGTTTGGTCTTCAGTTAGCAGTTTGTGCGACACCTAGTATTTTTGTGTTCTTATGATGGATTGTAATGACAAAGAACCACAACTAATTGGCGCAAAGTTTTTCTCTTTTGTCTGCACATACACTTGTGATCCTGAAGAGTTTCTTATCCATAAATGTGTTCTGTATGTTTGGCAAATATCCAATACATCAATAGCCTTTTGCCGTTGTAATTCCCATTGTTTTTATAATCAGCAACATACGGTGACATACGTTAGCAATTAATGATTGAGCAATGTATCAAACTATGCTATTACAATTAATTTGTAGTGATATCAATATTTCTGTGCTATCCATGTGGTGCTTCTAACTTCTGAGTTCTGAGTCTTAACTGACACTTTATTCTCAGATTTCAAGCCCATCATCTACAGGAACAACTAATGTTCAACCTCAAAATGCAGTGAGGTATGGACTATTTTGCTTGTGGTAGGTTTTCCTGTTTTATTACAAGTGCATGCTATTGACTTTTTTCTGGCTTGAAACAGGAAGGACACCAGTAATACAAGAGCTCGTTCTATGGATGCCCTTCCTTCAATTGTGGCCACAGATAAAAATGATGGCACTGTTGCCCTGGTTAAATCTGGCTCTGTAAAAGTTAAGACCACCCCTGCAGGTGAATATCTTACTGCTGCCTTGAATGACTTTGATCCAGATCAAGATGAAGGCCTTGCTGCCATTTCTGATGGTGCAAACAAGCTTTTGATGCTGGTATGCATTTTGATTGATCTTTGGTTCAACTTGCGGAAAGGTCTTGCCATTAGATTTATCATGAATATTTTTTCCTTCCCATTTTTGTGTTGAAATTATTATTGTGGGTTGCAAGGACTATTGCAGTCAAAACCTAATCACGTTTGTAAAATGCTCAGATTCTTTTACCTCTTCCTCTATGGTATTTGCTTGATGAAGCAATGACTAACATGAAGTAAAAATCTTTTGAAGGTTCAGCTTATAAGTTTGACTTTTGTTTCAGCCTCTTGCAGTGCATCCTAATTCAATTTAATAATTGATGGAAGCTCAATTTATTAGAATGTTCTGATGGTTCTTTGTCAATAATGTTGATTGTTACTCTGCACCTCAAATTCTTAATAGAAGTGCCAAGAGAAATTTAAGCCTTATGCAGCACGATAATCTCCATTTCAGGCTAGATAAGTTTTAGTAACATCCTATGTAATATTTTCAGGTTCTAGCTGCTGTAATCAAAGCTGGTGCCTCCAGAGAGCATGAGATTCTTGCTGAGATTAGGGATGCTGTTTTCTCTTTTATTCGGAAAATGGAACCAAAGCGAGTAATGGACACCATGCTTGTTTCTCGTGTTAGAATCCTGTATATAAGGTCTTTACTTGCTAGATCCCCGGAACTGCAATCCATTAAGGTAAATCAATGTGTTTTTAGTGGTGTTCTATAGAATATAGTGGATGTACTATTTGTCAATTTGCTTAATTTTGCACATTGAATTTGAAGGTCTTGCCTGTTGAGTGCTTTCTTGAAAAGGCTAACAGTGGTCGCAGTAGAAGTTCAAGCCGGGGGAATAGTCCTGGAAGATCCCCTGTGCAATATGTTGATGAGCAGATCCAAGGATTTAAAGTTAATCTAAAGCCAGAGAAGAAATCCAAATTTTCATCTGTTGTATTGAAGATACGTGGAATTGATCAGGTAGCTGCTACTATAATCTATGCTTTCTATGTCTATACTGTACAGACTAACATGAAGAGGAGCTCAATTGAACAGTTAGAAAATTGCTGAGGATTACCATGGTTTATGAAACCAGACCGGAAAAACTGGTTCCTCCACCAGTCCAGTCACCAATGAAAACCAGACTGGAAAAACTGGGAACTGGTTCTTCCAAATTTTATTTTCAAATGTCTTGATGTTGTTCAGGATGTTAGTCCCATGGCCTTACCTCACATTGAATGTAAACTTCTCTGATAGACTGATAGTCATATATGAAACTGAGCAGGTGAGAGGGGATTGCATCCTTATTTTAATAAATTGAATATTTGTTTTAGATGTAATTAAATAATTCATATATATATATATATATTTATATAAATGCTATCAATAAATTAATAATTCTTTACATTATTTATTTAACTATTGATGTTAATATTGCAAACACGCACATATAATAGGGAAAGTTGGGCTGAGAGTAATAGAGCAGCAGTTGATACAGTCGTATATTCTAGAAAACCCGAAAGACATGAGGTGGCTAGGACAGAAAAGGATTTAATGGCTGGTAGCTAGCTCTGACCAGAAACTTTTGGTGAGTGAGCTGGAAGAGAGAAAGAAACTGATAGAGGGGAATAACATGGAGCCTGGATCTGAGGAAGGGGCTTGAGAACATTTTGAAGTGAATTATGGTTATAGAACTAGCCTCTTGAAAGCTAGTGACTTACCTTTAGGGCTATTTTTTCCCTTGTCTTCCATTCTGTAAAGGCTGCTCTTTTTGCCGTAGCCCTCTGTTACGCACATATTGATATATTGGTAGGATGTCTAGCTACCTTGATTGATTAATCAAGAAAATACTGGTTCTATCATCTCACTTTAGTTCTTTTGTTTCTTTTCTTTGTGTTTTAGCATTATCCCGAATTGAAGTTTTGAACTTCAGTTATATGGATTGTTTTTCTTTTCATCTAGTTTTACTTACCTTTTTCTTTTGGTTGGGGGGGGGGATGCACAGGACATCTGGAGACAGCAGGTAACTGGTGGCAAGCTTAGGGAAATTACTGAGGAAGCCAAAAGCTTTGCAATTGGGAACAAGGGTCTTGCTGCACTCTTTGTGCATACTCCAGCTGGTGAGCTGCAGCGGCAAATTAGATCCTGGCTTGCAGAGAACTTCGATTTTTTATCTGTTACTGGAAATGATGCACCAGGGGGGTCAACTGGTCAGTTGGAGCTTCTTTCAACTGCAATTATGGATGGTTGGATGGCAGGACTTGGGGCTGCCATGCCTCCCAATACTGATGCTCTTGGCCAGCTTTTATTTGAATATTCAAAGCGTGTCTATTGTTCTCAACTGCAGCACTTGAAGGTATGTGTCATGTTAAATATCTAAAATGACCCTTCTGAATTAAGATACTATTACTATTTCCTAATATACTTGAAGCAGCCCTGTACTTTATATTGAGAAGCGTGTTGAGAGTTTGAATGCTAATCATCACATCTGGTACATCAGTCTATCAATGATGGACATAACATTCATGCCCAGGACATTACAGTTGGTTTTTCATAGCCTCGCATGAGTCTAAAGTATGCTCCTATTGTATTCTACCGATTGCTTAACCTTTCCTTCCCTCTTTACCTTTCTCCACTTGTAAAACTCTTGATCTGAACCCTGTGAGAGCCAAAATGTTGCCACAGAGAATAATGCAACAATATTTTATCTTTCTCCACACGCTAACCTATTCATTTATTCAAGTTTCTCAATTATCACTATAAAAGCTGTCCTACATTGCCATGGATAAATTGGTGTGGAAATACTTAATTAATAATGAATAAGTAGTCAATGAATTAATTGCATGAGTTTTGTTCAACTGATTTCTTTTTTTATCCACAAACTTCTGACACTCACATTTTAGATTATGTGTCGGATGTGTGTCTTCTGACATTTGGTTATCAGGATATTGCTGGTACCTTGGCAGCTGAAGAGGCTGAGGATGTTGCACAAGTAGCCAAGCTGCGTTCAGCTCTTGAATCTGTCGATCACAAAAGAAGAAAGGTGCTTTATTTTGTTCAACTGTTATAACTTATTTTTGCTTGCAGATTTAATATATTAGTTTCTGTTGCACGTATTAAAATCCCTTGATGAATTGAATTACAGTATTTACCACTGCATTAGTTTATCAGATAACAATTTCACCAAAAAAGGAAAAAAAAAAAAAACGCCCTCAATGAATAAAATTATTTATTATTTGCTATTTATACTTTGTTTCTTACAAACTGCATTGATGATAAGGAATCAGGAATGCTATTGGAAATTTCAACTAATTCACTATTCTCATCTCTTAGTTTTCCATATATAATATATTGTTTTAACATGTATATTGCAACAAACCTCCTTAGTGTGGCCTATGACAAAAAAGTTTTGGCTTGTTTTCTCTTGGAAGGAGGTTGGATTATGAGTATCAAGGGCCGGCTGGGTAATTTGGGTAGCTTTTTCTTCTCTTTTTTCTTTTCTTTTCGTTTCTTTGTGGGTTAAGTACCATTACTTGCCGATATTTTGTCTATCAGGCATTGTAGGCTCTGATACTAGTAGAAATTTAATGTTTGATTTTCCTTTGAACTTATTTATTAGATGAGGGTAGGTAACATTACATTTATACATGACAAAAAGAGATAATGGACCAACACTCCAACTAACTCGTAACTCTAAAGGCAATTTTATTTAGTTACAGAAGGATAACTCTACCTGAAATAAAGCCAAATACTTGAAGTAATCCTCAATGTACAGAAATGTATCTAAAAATAACTAAAAACAAATAATCCTTAGCTGAAATAAAAAAATAAAATTTAAACAAATAAAGTAACTAAAAATAAAATTAAAAACATTTTTAATTTCCAAAAAATCATTTTTTTTTTTTTGCGACCTATGTTCCTTTTATTAACTTGGGCTTGCAAGGTTACTGGAATAAGTAGGTTTTATACTCAACTAAGGAGGACTTGAGACATACTTTCTTCTTAGATGAATGTTCGCTTCTGATGCATTGACATTGTTTACTTCTCATGGTCAGATTTTGCAGCAAATGAGAAGTGATGTAGCTTTGCTGAAATTGGACGATGGAGGCTCACCAATTCAAAGTCCTTCTACAGCAGCTGAAGATGCCCGATTAGCATCCCTCATTGCACTTGACGGCATATTAAAGCAAATCAAGGTTCTTATTTTCTTTTTCAAATTTATCTTCTTGAACCAAACACTGATTAGAAAAGAAAACTACCGTTTATTGTTTAAATAAGAAATGATAATTCCAATAATGATTTGAACAGGATATTACCGGACAGGCTAATGTGAATGTCTTGAGCAGCAGTAAGAAAAGAACAATGCTTGCTTCTCTGGATGAACTAACACAAAGGATGCCTTCGCTTCTTGAAATGGATCATCCATGTGCTCAGAAGCAAATTGCAGATGCTTGCCGCATGATTGAGGTATGTTGTTGGCCAAGAGTAGTGCCGGGCCTAGTCAGTAAATTTGTTGTGTCAATACTGAAGGAATTAGATTGTGCATTTGAATTAGCCTGGCACATATAGTGTCAATCCTTTACTCTTTAACTATTCTCAGAACAAGAAAGCATGCCTGGCAAGGAGCAGGAATAATCTGATTTGATTTGGATGCCTACCCACCTTTAACCTGGCGTTCTTGTGTATATGTTGGTAGCTTTTAAATGATGATTCGTTGTGAAATGAAACCAAATTAGTTGTTTGCACTACTCTTTGGGAATATAGTACCGTGTTTAACCATATCAAAATGTGGTGTAATTATTCCTTGTAATCATAAATTAGTTGACTTATTTTTGTGACATTGCTTGGGTTCCTTGGGGAGCTTATTTATGCCTAATTCTTCTCTTTTCTTGTATATTATCCAGTCCATTCCTGAAGACGGCCGTATTCAGGATTTACCACATGCTCGGAAGGCATCAACGGATCTGGGGTCTGGATTTGAAACTGATGTGGCACAGTGGAACGTTCTTCAATTTAACACGGGCTCTTCCACACCGTTCATAATCAAATGTGGAGCAAACTCAAGCTCAGAACTAGTTATCAAAGCCAATGCGCGAGTTCAAGAACCTACAGGTGGTGAGATTGTAAGGGTTGCCCCTAGACCATCCATTTTGGAAAACAGGAGCTTGGAGGAGATGAAACATGTGTTTGCTGACCTACCAGAGGCTCTGAGCTTGCTTGCCTTAGCAAGGACAGCTGATGGAACTCGAGCAAGGTATTCTAGATTATACAGGACCTTGGCTTTGAAGGTTCCATCGCTGAGGGATTTAGTCAGTGAGCTTGAAAGGGGAGGTGTACTGAAAGATGTGAGAACATAACTTGTGATCAGAGAGTTGCTTATAGATTGTCTCTGGGGCCGACTGGTCAAATCTTACATGATGGGAAAATGATATTTAAGGACCCAATTCTTTGAAAATTTGGGTTGAAGACTTAAAAATTATAATTATTTTTAATGATCAAAGTTGCTATAAAACTTCAAGGGATGTTCTAAGACAATTATCTCAAAATATAGTAGTAGAGTTGATTATTAAAAATAATTGTGATTTTTAAGATTGTTCAATCTAAATTTCCATGACATCTTGGTATCCACGTGTAATTTTCCCTTATGAGAGGGTTGGTTAAGTGGCGTTGGGTCTCATTGTTTCTTGTATTTGCATTATTTCCAGGGGGCAAATCTCTTGGTACAATGTAACGGTTATTCTGTAAGTTATTGTATTCCTGGTAATTATTTCAATATTTTGTTCTTTTTTATTTAAACAAGTCTGAAATTTTTTTTAGTAATTGTCAGGTTCAAATAAGACTTTGATGAAAAGATGGAATACAACATTACAACTCATGTGATAGGTGCCAACCATGTTTGGCTTAGGTCTGGATTATTTTGACAGTTCCATTAATCAATTTATTCAGGGGAAAACGATATTCATAACCCTGGACATGGAATAGACAATTGATGTAATATGAGGATCTGGTTACTGTTTCATCGTCAAAACTTTCAATAAAGTCTTTATTTGATATTAATTTTCATATCAGGTTCAGAATTGTCATCCACATTTATTCAGTATTACTTCCGACATATTTGTGTAGACAAAAAAAAAAGGAAAAATTGGTGAAAAGGATATGATTAGAATATAAGTTATGCCCAAAGATCAAATCAAATTTAAGGACTAAGCCAAATATTTTATTTATAAAGCAATTAGGTCAAATAACCGAAATGCCTCAATACCTTTAGGTTGGATATTTCTTCACTATTTATCACATTGATGGATAGCGTTGGAAATTCACTCTTGTTGACCAGTCCACCTTTCATCATTACTCCTTCTCTTGAAGTTGCCCCTTGCCTTCCTTGCTGTCCGCCTTTGCTCCTTCTTCCACCTTCGTCACTTTTTCTCATATTGTCCATCATTCACATCTGTACTCGTCATTTCATTGTTTGAATGCCAGATCTACTTATGCTCGGCGTTTGAATTCTCTTACTATCGATCGATGCTTCATCGTGCTACAATTGTTGCCCAAAATTGATCCTTTTGATTTGTTGCTGATGCTGATACCTAATACTACTATTTTTTTACATTTAATTCTCATGGAATGCAATTATTTCATGTGGACAGATGTATTATTTTTCATATCTTTCTTTTCAAGTATAACTTCTAATAGCAGTGTAGTTCTATGTATTAATGAACTCAATTTTGTTTTGGAGTGGGGAGTTTTGATAAATAACAATTTTATATATTTTTATCTTTTTAATTTAGACTTTTAAATATTTATTTAAGGACAATTGAGTTTAATTGAATATTATTTTATTTTATTAGCCAATCTTCAATTTTGAGATTTTAACTATTTAAATCTTTGATTTTAAAATATAAATAATATATTTAATATTTTTGCACATTTTTTTATTTAATTTTATTTTATTTATGTAGATTTTCTGGATCTAATTTAAAAGAAATTGAGGAAGATTATTTTGGATAGAAAAATATGAACATGTTTGAAGATTAAGTCAAGAATTAAATATTTAAAATTTTGTTTATTTTTTTTAAGTTCTTTAATGTAATTTTAATTAGGATTATTTAAGGTAGTTTTGCTATTTTCATTAAATTATTAGGTTTTAATTTTATGGAAGAGACGCAGCACATGGGACGCGCAACTTTTTGAATAAAAAGCATGAGAAAAGAAACAGAGTGCGGCAGAAGAATAGAGAAAAGAAGAGGGTTATTCGCTGTTCATCTTCGTCTTTCTTTTAATTTTATTGAGCGATGGCTTCTTTAGTTCTTCTTCCCTTTATTTTTACCTGTTGCCGGTTGGCTTTTAATTATTTGGAGAAGCAATTTTTTCGGTGTGATTAATTATAAATCATGATTTTAAATTATAATCATAGTCTCCAATATTTAAAAAAGATTTTATTTTAGCTTTATTTCAATTTGTTCTTCTTCTTCCTACTTTTAAATTTTATACTTTAATTGTTATTGCTAATTAAAGTAATTTTATTGCATAATTTATGGGTTATAAATTTTATCTGAGGTTTTACTTGCTATAATCAATTGATATAGTAACATAAGAGTGGTTTGACCTGATTTTAGTGATTATTTATGATTTGTTTCTACTCTAGTTAACTACAACAGTTGTTAGATTGTAGGTAAAGTGAGATCTTAATTAATCCATAACTTAATTTTTTATTTAATTCTTGAACAATAATTTGAGAAATATCTAATAGAACTAGAATAATAAAATTAAATAAAATTAATTTATTTTGTGGATGAGGAAAATTAAGTTTAGGTGATTGGGTTGTGATTGATTGCGTTGCATGTGCTTGGTAATTTTCTCAATTGAATTTTATTTATTTATTTAATTTTAATTTAGCTTTTTTAAATTAATTTCTTCATAAAAAAATACCCCATTATTTACCTTTTCATAATCCTAATTTAAATAATTAATCAATTGACTTTTAGAGAGACGACTTAGGTTACGTTTTACTGTAAAATCTAATTTTTTATTAATTTTGGTGCTATTTGACAACAGTGTTTGTAAATTCCGACTTAGAAAAATAAGGTACCCTTACTAATCCTCCCTAATCCCACAAAATCCATGTAATAATTAAATTTAATCAGATTATATAAATAGGACACAACTTTAACAATTTGCAAGTGGGATTCCCAAATTTTAATATTTAAAATATACCAATTCACTTTCAACTCTTAAATCAGAGTTTAAAACTTTTTGTGGAAGCATGAAAATTAAGAAAGAATCAAATCCTTTGAGTAAAATCACAAAGCTATAAACTGTGCAGAAAATGACACATGTGCCGCGGGTAACTGCCAATGTGTCGTGGCTTGTAAACTTCTAAGTCATCTACCGCGTTGCATTGCACGAGTTTTGACAACAAACTTTTGCTGTCATATAACAACACAGGGGACAAACTTCCGATGCGTCCCAAATATCTATATGATGTCTGATTGAGGTGATTTTAGTGTTTATAGAGAACTTTCTTCTAGCTTTAGCTAATGAAACAAGTTCACAACTAAATTTTTTTCTTATCAAAAGTTGGACACTTAAATACATTTTTACTCATTTTTCACAAAAAACTTGCAACTAAGGTGTCTAAACTCACACACATGTGCCAAAAGCCCATACCAACCATTTAACCACACTCAATAAACCATCTAGGACTCGTGCAACACACCATACCTATTCAAATACACATATGTTACAATTTCAACTCTCAACCCCTAATTTCACAAAACACAGGGGGGAAATCTTTGCACAAAATCATCAATGTGTATTCATAACATCCCAAAATACACTTTATACTACTTGTACAAATATGTTGGCGCTATACAACTTTACAATCATATCAAGCTAGCTCAAGGTATAAAATAGACAAGATTTACACAATGATAATGCAAGTTATCAAAATAATGATATGAGTCCTAGTTGGTAAGTTAACAACATTAACACATATCAAAACAAATCTAAGGGGCCTATTAGTATGATTTCACCACAATCTTAAGCCTTAGTACATTTTCCCCAATCCTAGTTCGATAAGCTAGACCCTGAAAATATTAAAGAATGAAGGGTGAATACAATCACTCAATAACTAAGTTTCACCTGGTTTGTACAGTTGCATATCAATCAAGAATAGATGCAAATGGCAATAAATTCACATATTACGCACATATGACAAATATATTCTCGGCCAAAATAATAACAACCAAGTAATCGGGCAAACCACACATATCATCATATATATTAATTATGCACAACTTGGGGTCACAAAACTAACAACTATGTGCCTTTACACATGTCGGACTATAATAATAACAACCATGTGACCGAAACTAAATGCATGATCAATGCTAACCTTATACCCTCGTGTTACCTTTGATATGAAACCGGTGGCTATTAGTGGCTATGTCCATAACTCAGACTAACCCAACCTTCTAATTATGAAGAGCTACCTCGCCAGAGTTAACTCACTTGTATACCGCAGTTTTCCACAATACTAACAATCATGAGGTGTTATACCCTTAATATAGTCTCCTCATGAATCAGTAGAAATTAGTTAGCTTTGAATCCTCTCAAAACAAGGGGGACAGTCCCAAATCAACTATGGGATAATGGCTACCTCCCAATTTCAAGGTCAGTGCCAAGGCAAGCTTCTGATTTTAATGATAAGCTGCTAGTACTACATGGATTTACCAATCTACTTCTCTCTCTAGGCGAACTCTTGCCAATGATTATGTTATGCACATATTACACATATTATACAATTATGACAAAATTCACAACCTTATATCACATTCACACCGTTTCCTCACTCCAACATACTCTACATATCACATATCACATATAGCACATTTTCATCATATCATATCATATTTGCACATCCTCATCATGAATTATAGGAATAACATGCATATTAATATTCCAGATAACTCAACACAATATCACATGCACGATCATTATCACCTTGCCAAAGTTTGCATCAAATAGTTTTCAAACCTCTAACAAGTTCTAAACAAACAAACTCATTCAACAATTAATTAATTAACATACAATTATCTAAACCAGATTTTCCGCAGTTACCTCAAACATTTAAAAGGTTAAAGATTTACCCCTCATAATACCAACTTTTAAAGCTTCTTTCCAATCTCAAAGGGTGCCAGAAATAAACAATCTACAACCAATGACAAGGATATTCATCATTACCTCATTTTTTGAGAGATTTCCAACATTACAACTCTGCATTCTCATTCCATCAACATTTCAAACACACTACCCATCATACTTAATAAGTTTACTAGATTTTATTGACTCACATTGTCATTAATGAGTCATTAAACCACCATTATTATTCATCAACACTCCCAATAACCTCAATAAATGCTAATTTTCGTGTATTAATGGTCCCCAATAATTCACAAAATCATTAATGTAAAGTTTAAATACTCTAAATCATTCTCATTATATCTATTTTAGCCAATGAGTTCAGACCCATAGCTTATACGGAATGAAAAGTTACTCTTCTAACTCAAACTCTAACTTAACTCTTCATAAGAATGGAAGGAAAGGGAAGAGATAAGCATAATGTACTTACCTTATGAGTTAGGAAGCTCCACAATATCTTCGATGGGTTAAAATGTCATGCTTTAGTAGAGCAATGGGCATGCCTTTTGTTTTTCTATCTTCCTCTCCTTAGATTTTTTGCACAGACTTGAAACCAGTTTAAGCAAAACTTTA